CCTATGCCTAGATGAACTACACCTACATAGTTATGCCAGGCTCACTGTGCATGCACAAAATTATATTAGTCAAGACAAACCTGGTAGCCCAAACAAGTGAGAAAAGTCTATCAGATGCTACAGGTGTCCTGCAAGATTCTGTTGCTGCTTGCAGAAAAATGACACAATTTCTTTTGTCCTCTAACATTTAAACTATTTTCTTCTATTATATGGCTAAATGTCTTAGCCAGGGGAATGATGAACCATAGATGGAACTGTACCTTTGTTTAAAGAGGTTAAAAAAGATAAATAGAAAAAATGATGACTAATGTAAAGACAGCACATCCAAACCGACCAAAAAAAAAAAAAAAAAAACAAAAAAAAGATAATTGCAGAATTTATTGCAATAAAACCAGCAAGAATAAGATGATGAAATTTCATTATGTAAGAAACACTGAAATTCTCTGTTCCTTTGTCTTTCTACCAGAGGGCCTCTTTATATTACTGAAACAACAATCTTAGGGAGCTTGGTTTTTCACATAAAATGCGGAAAATACTAATTCACGATAGATAAAATACAAGTAACTTTTAGTCCTTATTTAGACATCAAAAGCTGTACCTACAGTTAGCCTTTTGAAACGTATCTTAGAAAGACAAGAAGAGAATACGCAAATTGTGTATTACATTTAATAAAGAATTTAAAAGGTGAGAAGTCAGAATCGAATTTGAGAATTGGCCAATGACTCTGTAATAGTTTAACTACGAAGAAGAAAATTAACCCTATCCTAGCAAAAACCAGGACAACCCACAAGTGAATAGCACTGGCAAAAGAAACAGTCTCTTGTAAAAAAAGGTGACATTTCTCCCTCTATGTATATAGTTTATCTGTTCAAATGGAACTGAACAAATAAATAAGTAAGGAGAGTCTTATTAAATTGAGTGGCTAATAAAAAAAAAAAAACAACCCAAAAAAACCCCAAACAAAACCATGAAGCATCACACACAGCCCAGTTTTGTTCAGGCTTCATTCAGACTGGGAGCTATAGGCATTGTGGTAGAACAAACTCAATTTTACTATCAATTTCTAAAACTACAGCCTGGTAAGGTAAATTACACTTTATGTAGTAATGTAACTAAGTAAAACGTGAAAGAGATCCTAAAACTTCAGATGACTTCACAGTTAACACATTAACCTACTTGGTCTCCTACCACATCTCATTTTTTTTCTCCCATGTGCTGTTAGTATACTTTACAGTGGCATACATCTAACTTGAAACTGTATTACTTTCTCAAAGTCTTCGTTAATTTGCAATTCATGAGTTAAAAGCTTACTAAGACTCGTCTGGACAATCCGGAAAAGATCAAATGATTCAAACCCCAAACTAAATTCTGTTTGTTTCTTATCTGCACACATGTAATTTTTCAACAAACCTTCTTTTTCAGAGACTGATCCTGTGAAAATTTGAAAACAAGAAAAGTATTTGCAAAATGCTAGATCACAGGTACAAGCCATAGCTAAGGTGCACAGGTAAAAAAGAACCCTGACAAAAGAGATCCCTGAATTACTGTTAAGTGTACTAGCTTCAGGACTGGCAGAAGTAGAGGCTGGTGGCAGTGTGGCACTGAACTTAATACTGCTTCTGAGATCTGAGTCCCAGGGTCCACCAGCTGCATTTGGTACATGAGTGTCTGGAACAGGAGAGAGGGGAGGCCACTGTGCTGTGCTAAACCTCACATTCATACAAACATCTTCAAAATCTGTCACATGCTGAAGCATGTGTATGCACTGCCATCATGTGAGCTGGCACGCAGTCTTAGAAAGAAAAGGCCAAAGAAAACTGGAGACAAAACGACCCCCATCTCTGCCTTCAAACCCAGATCATCAGTTTTCTCTTTTTCTGCTCTCTGCCACCACCTGCTCTCACCAGACTGGTGGGAAGAAGGAATCTGATCCCCTCTGCTGTCGCTTGCACAGAAACACAATGTTTCTCCTCACTGCAAGTAAACTTATATGCACAACCCTCCAGGAAAGATAATTAAGGCTATAAATTAAAATAACAATATAAGTTGAAAGGCCAGACTTCCCTCGTAATTTCATCCAAGCTACTAAAGCCTTCATAGTGCGAAACTATCTGCTGAAGAGTTTCCCATTCTGCCTTTCACTGGCACCTTCCTGTGCTGGATGCACAAGACACATGAAAAGGGGAAAGGAGTGATAGCTGGTTTGGAAATTGATATGATCACTGTTTTTGATCTGTTTAATATCTGTTTATTTTGCTAGAGAAATGCAAAAAGGTCCTGGCAGACAACAGAAAATTAATTATTTTGCACGCATTGCATAATATTATTCATTAGTTTTGCATGAGTGGCGAGAGGTCAGCCAAGAATAGAATCCCACTGCATTAACCTTCAAAGAGCTTGCCATGTAATTGAATGCAGTAGGCACAGAATAAAGGAATTAAATATGCAGGCAGAATTAACACTAATGGTTTGCAAATATCACATTGCAAACATTTGCAACTTTTTTGTCTAAAATCCTGGGTTGAGATCTTGGGAGAAGGCGATTAGGTAAGCAACAAAAACAAAGAAAAGGAAGAATATTGAAGCAACGTGCATAAAACATGGAGAAAGGAGAAGCAGAATAGGATCTAAATGCTATAATGCATCCATTCTTGTGTATTAGTGCATAGATTTACAACATGCATCAAGCACTAGCCTACATGCACCTTTCTGCTGTTGTTTTCTGCGTAGGAAGTGTGCAACATGTAGAGACAAAAGAGACATTTTAGCAAATGTGGTAACATTCTGACCATATATATCATACAGCTAGCTTTTGTTCTGCAGAAGGATGAGAATGCTGGGAATCAGTAAATGATACTATAGCTCCCCAGAATCTGCTGAATCCATTCAGAGTAAAGTAGCAGGAGAACATCACCATTCAGTGTTCTGGGTCCATCTGTTGGCAATATCATGACGGAAACAGCTTTTAAAATGCTATTTTCAATAAGCTGTCACACAACAGCTTGTTCCAACAATATTCCAATACCTTTCTGTTTGCTTGCCTCCTACTATAAAAAAACAGCTTAAAAAGAAGGAGGCATTTCAGTACTATAGTGATGTAGGGTGGGAGGGACAGAGAGACTACAGGAACAAACAAAACAAGGAACAAATATAAAAAGAGAGAAGGAGAAGCAGCTGTTAATTTAGACTCCCTGTAATCTAGATTTAAACCGGGATGTGGAACCCAAACCACTGTAGTGTCACAGAGAGATGGGCTGCACCAGCCAGTCATTACAATTATTGTGAACTGACTGTGTCAGCCATAGGAAACCAATGGCTCCTAGAGAGAAATGGCAGGTGAACCTAGTAATTACCTTTAATTCTGCAAGACATTCTGAACTGTGTGCTCCAATAAGTACTGAAAAGAAGATCCACCTTCATCACTGTAACATGCTCACTTGTGCGTCATCAAAACAATCTGCCTTATATAATTCTTACCAAAATATAATGTATTCATTAGTGTACTTCTTAGTAACACAAGTAACACAAATACCAGCAACATGTACTGATACCTCTCTGTGCATTGCTGGGCTCATTCAAAAAATATTTTTTCCTGCTATGGAGATTTCTTCCTAAGTACAAAATATACTTTGCGTTCTATTTATCTGGTTTTGACCTATTCATATGTGTATAGTGATAGTATCTCCTCAGAATACATGCATCTCAGCCTGCTTTTAATATGAGAAATATGACTAATAAGAGGATGTCTATGGTGATCACCTACCTGAGGACGTATAACTTTCACTATGTTTTTAAGGGCAGTGTCTGGTGATGGAGGAGAGCAGTCAGGTGTTGGGCCTGTAGAGCTGTTTCTATGGTTACCAGATCCTGGTGCAGTAATTGCTACCTGAGGTGCATTATCTGTGAATAAAAATAACATTTATGTCAACTTACAAATACTTCATACATTTTAAAATAAAAAAAAAATATTTTGAAAACAGAATGCTACTCAGAACACTATTTCAACTTACAAAATCTATTATAATTTAGATGTATTTGGTAAGGAAAATATTGCATATCTGCACTTACATTATCAGTTTATATGCTCATTCTATATTAAGACAGGTTATAGCACTCTCTTAATACCTTAATAAAATAAGGCACTAAACAAACACAAATACCTTACTTCTTTTACCCTGAATTACTGATTGTGAACCCAAATACTATAAACAGGAGGGACTTAAAAGGAAGCTTTCTAATGCAATTCATATCTCATCCTGGAAAATCCTAACAGATAAGATCTAGTTCAACAATTTATATAAACATATACTTGACGCAGAGCATGCTAATAGCCATCAGTGACAGCTTTCCTCTGCCCTGTGAGTAACATAACGGATCAGCAAGGAGTAATTGCACGTAAATGTACTCAGCTTTTTTGATGAAATTTCTATCCTCCATAAAGCTCTGCACTGCAGTAGCTACCTTACTAGCATCATCTCAGCTAGATTACCTACAGCTGGCTTAAAAATGTCTACATGCCTGCAGGTACATGGGAAACTGCTGTTTAGACATATTTTGTGATGCTGTTACCATTTTATGGCACTGAGAAGGACCATTAAAGGGACTTAAAATATCATTCCTACCTTCTCTAAATGTTCTTTATGTTGTTTCAACAGTGTAAAGTAAAGTTAGTGAAAATCAGGTCAGAGGATAGAGAGGGCTGAAAAAAGGCATAGCTTCCCAGCTGTGATGGCAACCAAGTACCAGAATGACTTAGCAGGAAGCCAAAAGCTCTACATTATTTCATGTCTTTAGAATTGTATTATTAAATAAATCCTTTAGTTCAGATTCTGGGGAAAATGTCATTGCCTATGCATGGTTATGGAAGTCTTTACAGTGCCTGTGCATTTATTGAGTACCTTTCTTTGTGGGTCACAAAGACATGTGCTCCATGTTCCTAAATGTGCTGTTAACACCTGCAGCTCTGTATTACGCAATGATTACATTCAGATCTTATGTCTGTGGACCTCAGCTGACAGCCTGCAGAGTTCACAGAAGAAAGCCTGTTTCTTTGTAATTAAGGTGGATCTGCCATATGTGCTTTCACTTTGTGAGCAAATCCAGTCCAGAAAAACCCAAACTCCAAATAAACAAAAGCAGCTCCAGTGCTGTTAGCTGGGGAATTTTTGCCTAACTTCTGCAGGAATACACATAAGCTCCTCCATCTGCACAAGTCACAAATGCCCTGGTGAAAGCAATGACAGATGCTTCTCCTCAACCCTATTAACCTCAAAGAATTCTTGGAAGTATAACAGAAATTTCAAAAGGAAGGTAATACTCAGTTACATTAACGTAGCTAACAAAGGATAAAGATGAATAGTTGCAAGAATGTAAACTTTATAATCTTTCTAATTTACAAATACTTCCATGGCATGAACAATTCTAAGAAATACCCCCCTTAGAAACACTACATATCTGGATGAGGTCTTAAAGCTTCTTCTAGTCAAATACAGACTAACAAACTGTTCTTCTAAATGAAATACTAGGCTGGAATATTTCAGCAATACTGTTACACTTAATGAAAATGCAAATGAAAGTTTGTGTGGCAGTTTGTCAGACATGAAAATGGAAAGATCCTGTAGATAGCCTTAGAGTCTTGACAGAGTGAACCCTCCCTGTCTCAGAAACAGACAATTCCAATGTTGTTGAAAAGCACCTGCACCACAGCTGCCAGACCTTTAGGCATACAGTCTTAAGACATAGAAGGGCTTTTCCTGAATCATTGTAAGCATACACAGAAACCTTGGATCTTAATTAATTTAATTCAGAAAGTAATATGTGTGTGTTAATATGATAAATCAGACAAATTTTTACACAGCCTTAGAAAGGAACTTAAGATGAATCCTCATAATAACATCCCTAACATGAAAGAACTTGGATGGCATTCCAGAAAGACTTCTCTCTTATGCTTTCCTGTCTGACCTGATATCTAACTGGAATACTGTTTATGTGCAGAATGTGAACAGGTATCCTGTGATTTGAAAGCCTAGCTCATCGAAGGAGAGACAGGGATTCAACAGGAAGACTTCCCACCAAGGCCTTTATTTTCTTCTTTGGAAATCACATAGTGAGGATGAAGGCTAAATATGAATGTTAGGAGCATCTTAATTGAGCTAAAAGTCTTATCCTCTTTTGCTTCAGAATATGAAATATCATCTTCTTTCACTCTGTGGACAGACTCTTTAACAGACAGTTATCAATGAACATCCCTGACTAAGGAATCAGAGACGTGCCTTGAGAATGCTCTGCCCTGCTGCCAAGACACATGGTAACACAGGCACCATCGAGGAAGCTAAGAAATCACTTTTAGAGTGAGAAATGTTCCACGTGAGTCTAGTTAAGTACACTTAGTGCAGTTATTTATTTAATTGCTAGCATGAGAAACAAACAGAACAATTGTCTCTGCAAACTAGCTAAACCTATGATGAACATAGACTCCCCAGTATCTCAGCAGTCCCTGCATTTCTGTCACTGTTCTTTTGCTATGAAGCATGTGTGGCTGTGCTTACACACTGCTGCCCTTCAGCTATTTATCACATGAAAACCTTGCAAGTGAAATCAGGAAGTTTTGCAGATGCAAAAGTATCTCAGAGATGTATCTCTTAAAGGCCAGATAGTTTGAAATATAGATTGGTGCTGCTGATAATAAACAGAGTTTTCTGCCCACCATATCATTCTGTTTCAAGCCCTTAATGATGGTCACCTCAGCTTAGTTTACTCATGCTTTAAATATGCAAAAGAGGTGAACAGAGGATTCAAGTTGTATAAGCAAGATTCTAGTCTTTCCAGAGGAAAGACTTCTCATTCTCTTCAATGACAGGTCACTGAAAATTAGGATTTGCCCCTAGATTTGCCTCATTTCCACCTGAGAAGCATTAAACTTACTGGGAGTGACATTTTTGGAATGAAAATTTATTGGAAGATATTCATGAGTGGAGGCAGGGCAGTTACATACCCCAACTTGATAGGGCTGAGAAAAATTTCTCCAGCTACAGTGTGTGCATACAACTATAACCAATTCAGGAATATACAAAATTTCAAAAAAAGAGTAGTTACAGTCTTTCATTCCAAGCCAAATAAAGTGGTAATGCGAAAAAGGATCATGCTTTTAGAATCTAAACATAAAGCTTTGCAAAAAAGAAAAAAAAAAAAAAAATCCAAATATTTTTCTTTGAAATAAATATCCTAGAACAAATCTAACTGCTCAGTATTTCATGCCTTCACTCCTTTCTCAGGGGAATAAAGTGTCTGACATGTAATGGTTTCTTGTAAACAATTTCTTTATGGTGGACAGCTGTTTATTTTCACAGTAGGATCTTCCCATTAGGTAACCAATAATGATTTACTACCTGAATCTGCTCCATCAGAGAGAATATCACCACCAAATTAGTTCCTGCAACCAATCTGGCTGACTCCTCTGTTTACATATACAGTACTCATAGTTTCATTAAAAATAGATTGGAATAAATTTTCTTTTGTAATTAAATGATATAATTATGTTTTCATTTTCTTTTCTCTTTCTCTGCTAACAAAACTAAAGCAAACATTTTTTCCCTCTTTAGGTAACCATAATGGTAATACTGCAAAAATAACTTGGAAACTTGAGAACCTACCAAATTTATGTAGGAAAGATTAGCTCTCATGCTGAGTTTCTGATAGGTGCTATAGATGAGGCCAACAGGGAAGTATTTACAGTTGTTGTTCCCTTCTAGTTCCTGGCTCAAGTTGCAATAAGCTAAGAGATGTTTCTGTACAAGTCAGCTAACACTAGGCTACAGGAATCATTTGATGAATTGCAGCATGCTTAAATAATATTCCTTCCTGACCCCATCAAACTGTCACAAGGATTATGCAATCGGAGCTTTTGATTTGTAAAAATGGTTACTGAGGACTTTCCATCCTCCATTTTTTTTTTTGTTTCATAGCTTAATAGGAAACAGAATAGGATATGACAAAGAAAATATATTATGCTATATTTTCTATGTCCAGAATAATCAAAATAATTTTTAAAATGTTAGATAAATTAGGGATTTGGATTAACTGGAAACATCTAGTGTGGACTATAAAAATGGCTATGCTGATTTACATCCTGGAAAATCAACAAATCAAACTTGCTTGGTTCGTTGGTTGATTGATTGGCTCACATCCAAGGTTTTAAAGGACAGAAAGTATTACAATGCCATCACAATCACATTTACCACTAATCATCTCATAGACATATGAAAAAAGATGGTGATTCTTACATTTCTCACAGGATTAGACAGTTTTAAAAATCTTAGTCTTAATCTTAATTTCCAAATTTTAATGCCTCTTAAAATTCTATTTGCTACTTTTCCCAATTTTGAAATATTTACAGTGGAAGCAGACTCAATATTTACAGCAATTGTCACACTAGTGCTTCATACAACTTGCCTGTGCATATTTATCTTTTCCTTATGCATCAAAAGACTGTAATTACAAATGTTGACGTCATTGTTTGGAATCTGAAGGTCAGGTTGCTCCTACCACCATTTAAAAATTTTTTAGTCTCAAGCCTCACTAGCATTATTTAAATTAGAGCTACACCCTTTCATTAGAGACAGGTGGCTTGATTTCAGTTATACTCAAACCTATTAATATTGAATCTACTCCACCAAATCCAGATTAGCTTTTTACTGGTCTATTCCAGTTATTCCATATTTTACCAACAGTTATTTTTTATATTCTTGTAGGAAAATGATAAAAGGAAACTGAATAGCATTGAATAAGGACTAATACACATAATTGTTTATTTCAAATGTACAAATTTAAGAGTTTTAAAGTAATTTCATATGGGAAATGTTTATTTTTTTACAGTACTTTTTATGAGAACATTAAAAGAG